GAGTCAGCAGCTTCAATCATCTCTTCTTCTCATTTATTAATTCTTTATATACAATTCAAGTCTTCTTCAATTCTTAAAGTACTTTTTTGAGCTATATATATACAGTCTTTTTTATGCTTTCTCTTTTATTTTGCATTTGCAGCTCTTAGTTTCTTGATCTTCTACTTCAAAAGTATTATTCTATGCATAGTCATTTGACAACTCTTGACAATCTAGCTTAGAGTCTAATAAGTAGGACTGACTGAACTCTGCATATAGTATTTGATATATTTCCTGACCTTCATAGCATGCTGCTTCTTTTGATATACATTCTATGATGTGACTGTGGCCCAGAAAGCTTGAAAGCTATGAGAAGTTTCAAAAGAGATGAATGTATATATTGTGATATTAATACATGAGAGAATCTGTTCAAAATTATATTGAACTAGTCCAGCAGCTTTAAAGCTGCTCTTGATATTGCTCTCAGTCAGAGCCTGTATATGAGAAGTAGAATAGAGACTTAGAAACTTTTTTTTGTTAATGTGATTGATTTCAAGTCATATCTGCTTGTCTATTAGTTATCTGTATGCTGTTTTCAGAGAAGAGAACCAGTTAACATTCAATGACTGAAGAAGATAAGAGGAATAAGCTGGCATGTAAAGAGCAGTAATATTGTTCTCATAGTAGAATCAATCAAATTCAGCCAAAGCATGACTTTCATATTTATCAAAAATTAACAGTCAGTATTTGCTCTTTGTACAGAGTAGAGTGTTTTTGTTGAACATCTTCTTCAGTTAATATAGACCTAGTTTATCAGTTGTCTATTTATTATCACTAATTTCAATAACTCAGTTGCTTAGCAGCTCTTCTATCTTATATCAACAGAATTGATATACTTTTTCTTTGAAAATGATCACTGTATAAAGAGCTCAATCTATGATATTGATTTTTATAATAATAGTCACCCATTCTTAATTTTCAGATTGAACCAGTTTTGAATAATTTATTCTTTCAAACTCAGTCATCACTCTAGCAGTGCTAATAACTCTCATCTGAAATTCAATCTTATCAAAGTTGTAGATATCATCTTTTAAAATTCTATATTTTGCAATAATGTTTTGTACAAGTCTGAATCACTTATAAGTAATCTTAGAATTCTCATATAGAGTCTATTGATGATCATACTTGCATGAAAACTTGAATTTGAGCTTAGAATGATGATCAATAAATCAATTAATTCAGTATTTATCAATTGTAGATGAAGATTTGACCTCAGTGCTAGAATCTCAGTTGACAAGATGAAGATTAACTGTTTCTCATACAGTGTATACTTGAGAAGACTGATCACATTCATTCATAAATAAAATTTACTATAAAAGAACTGATTCTTTAGTAAAGGCTAATTTTTGATTATTGAGTTGAAAATTCTCTCATGATATATAATCATTTAATCAATTCTATAAGATGATAAAAGAGATGCTATACAAGCTTGCAGCTTTCTTAATACTTGAAGTTTGACCACTTTTTAATGTTTAAAAAGTCAAAAGAATCTTTTCTTCTTGAGTGGAAGTTTAAGAAAGCTGTAGAGTGAGCATTTTATTGATATGAATGCTAAACACATACACATTGAATAAACTGATTAACTAGATGGTATGATCAACTAGATGATGAATTATATTAATATTCTTTTTTTAAATAATCATACTTGCTAATATGATAATCTTCAAAAATTGCTTTTCATAATATTCAATTTCATAATAAAAGTATTATAGAAAAGATTATTTAGTTTGACTATATATTTTTTAAATTTTATATAAAAAAAGGGTAAAATTCTATTAGATAAATAAATTTTTTATTAATAATTACTATATTTCTTGAAAATATAACTTTTAATTAACTAAAGATTGATAATAAAGTCATAAACTATATAATCTTCAAATTATCTTAATGTTTGATATTTTAATTTACAGTTCTGACTTATATTATCAAAGTTTATAATCTTAGTATGAATTTAGTTATAAAATTTTTTTAAATAAAAAGCATCTTAATTTGATAGAATATTATTATTATTTTTATTAAAGTTTGATAATAAAATATATTATTGTTTTAAGAATTTTATGTTTATTATTATTCTCAAAGTAATATCTTTGATAGATATAAAAGATAAAACTTAAAAAAATAAAGTTCTTTAGTTTCTTGAGACTTTCTATGTTAAATTTATTAAGAAGCTTCTAAGTTATTATATAATAAAAATTATAATAGATGATATTAATACTAATAGCATAATCTATTAACTTTGTTTTATATTGATTGCTTTCAAAGTTTTGATATTTTACATTGATAGTATTAACTTATTATTGTACTTTTATATATTTTTTATATATCTTTAGCTATATTTATTTCTGTTGAATCATTTAAATCATGTTATTAATTACTGTATAAAATACTTTAGTATTTTTTTTTAATATCAGATTTAATAATTATTCATAAAGAGTTTTTTTTATATATACTTTTTTATTAAATATTATATATAAAATATCAGTTCATAGATTATATTTTGAACTTATTATTATAGAATTAATATAAAATTTCTCTTTAAGTGATTAAAAACTATAAGAATACTTGACATAATTAAACTAAATATCAAAAAAAAGTATGAGAAGTACTTTAAGTAATATTATAAAAATATAGAAATATTGACACTATGAGTACTATAAAAAAAAGAAAATAATAATAAATAAAAAAATATATACAAAATTAAATAATAGTTAATCACTAATTCTTTTAAAGAAATTTGAAAATTTAAAGTATTTATATATATAAATAAGTAGTAACAGATTTTATTTTTAATTTTTATGAAATAAAATATTAGTGATATAAAGTACTAATTTTAAAATATTAATTCTAAAATTTATAAAGTACTGATTTTAAATACTAATTCTAAAATATTAATTTCAACGTATTAATTTTTCATAAAATGCTTTAATAAATAATGAGATGGTAAAAAGCTAATACAATAGATCTTAACATCATAAAGATAGTAAAGATAAAATAGATAATTTTTTATTAAACATAATAGTTATAATTATTCTATCAAACTACTCTATCAACAAATTAGAGAATTTCACTTCTTTCTTATAAAAATTTAAAAGAACTGAAATTTCTATATTATTATTACTTATTTTATATATAAATATAATCTGAAAAAGTAATAATATATATAAAATAAAAAGGTTATTTTTTAAAAAAAGTATTAATTAAAAAGATAACTTTTTATGATTAAAAATAAATTTTAAATATAAAGATTATATGCAACTTTAGCATATTAAATTAATAATATAGTTTATTATATAATATCAGATATCAACTACATGCTAATATTTTACTTTCTTACTTATTTTATGATAAATTATTGCTATAGAGTTACTGTGAAATAATTGTGAAGTGATTACTATACTATTATTAAAACAAAGTTTACTCTATCTAATAAATAGTCTATTTTATCCAATGGTTTTATAATATCAAAATGATCTTAATAAAGTTTGTTTTATATTATAATAGTTTATTTTCTTTTTTATTTTTTGCTTATATGTTGAAAGCAAATAACACATTTCTGATTATCAGATTCTTGACTTTAAAAAATATTAGCCTGATGATAGAAGTTAAAGATTTAGAAAAGATGATAAAATCACATCTGATAAGTTATTTATACAAGATATTGAGATTGAGAGGCTGAGTCTTTTGAGTTCACTTCTTATTGAGATTATGATGCATACATATACTCTAAATACATCATGCAGTGGCATGAGGTGCAGGCCAGTGGCACTGCACTGGCTCGCCATCTGATTAATGGTCTGAGAGGTATGAGAAGGAATGATTCAATTAGAAAGAGAATATTTTAATTAAACAGTGTTTATTGTTATAGCTATCAATTCCCACACAACCATATTATCACGTGATAATCGACCTGCACATCAAAACAGGCTTAGCTCTATGTCTTGGCATATGCCCAGCCTCGGCATCTTATAAGTCCGGACTTCGGAATCTGAATATCCCGAATTGGGCAAGCGGCTTTGTCAGCCCTCAGACTTTCTTTCTCCCATAGTATATATTTCGAGGTCAAGTAATTCGAAGGTTATGGCGGCAGATTTCCATGTCCCCCTCTTCCAATTAACAGATATAATGAATATGACCGCGAAGACCCTTATGTCATGATAGCTAAGGCTGCTACATAAAAGAGGGATCTATAACCTGCTCCTTCCAATTGAATGGTAACTATGCTCTATATGATGGGGTGTAAATGAAACAATTCATTTGCACACCCTTTCCCGTAACCCATCGATTTGGATTTGAAAGCTTCCAAATCCCTTTATTGGTTCAATATCACAATTGTTTCCTCTGCCGTCTGACAATCGCCTTTAGATTTAATCTTTCATCGTCTCCATTGATGTCTCTAATTTCAGGTCCAGGCAAAGGTGGTGCAGCAGGGGCAAACTCTGCCGGGGAGGAGCTTTTTGTCCAGAAGCATGTGGACTATGTCAAACGCCTTGATACTGTGCGTGTACTTCTCGAGATCCATACCACGCCTAGCTTTTGAGGCCTGCCTAGCTTTGTTCCTCCGTCTTTTAAAATGGATGGTGTATTGATGAGTAACAATGGTTTCACCAGCGAAAAGATAAGTTGGAATACTGGCTCACAGAACATCTGCGTCTGAATGGAGTCTACTGGGGCCTGACTGCTCTCCACTTACTTGGCCATCCCGAGGCATTACCCCGCGACGAGACCATCGCCTTCATTCTAAGCTGCCAACATGACAATGGCGGGTTTGGTGCTGCTCCGGGTCATGATGCTCACATGCTATACACTGTCAGTGCTGTTCAGATCCTCGTGACAATTGATGCAGTCGACGAATTGGATAAGCAGAATCGAGGCGGGAGACAGAAAGTGGGGTCGTGTATGCATATTTTGGCCTTCCCACCGTCTTATTATTATGGCAGATTATCCCCTAACTTGAACTTTAATAGATATTGCGAATCTCCAAGACCGTGCGACAGGTACCTTTAACGGCGATGAATGGGGAGAGGCTGATACACGATTCCTCTATGGTGCTCTCAACGCCTTGTCTTTATTAGGCCTATTATCTCTTGTTGATGTTCCTAAAGCTGTATCGTACGTGCAGTCATGTGCGAATTTTGATGGCGGATTTGGAGTTCACCCTGGGGCCGAGTCCCATGCTGGGCAGATATTTACTTGCGTTGGGGCCTTGGCGATCGCCGATCGTCTTGATTTGATTGACAAGGACAGACTGGCAAGCTGGCTAAGTGAGAGACAGCTGGACAACGGTGGGCTTAATGGGCGCCCGGAGAAGCTAGAGGATGTCTGCTATAGCTGGTGGGTTGCGAGCAGCCTAGCTATGATTGGAAGGCTCCATTGGATCAATGGAGAAAAACTGGCAGCTTTCATTATTCGGTGTCAGGTATTAGACCATCCATACTGACTGAAAGATGCGAAAATTCGTTAACGGAATGGGAATAGGATCCAGATGGTGGCGGGATTGCAGATCGACCGGGCGATATGGTTGATGTATTCCATACAGTCTTCGGCATCGCTGGTCTGAGTTTACTGAACTATCCTGGCCTCAAGGAGGTTGATCCGATCTAGTGGGTTCTTTCAACGACTACCTCCTTTTTCTTTTTTCTTTTGGATTTTTGGAAACTCAGCTGACGGATGCAAAGTTGTATGCCCAAAGAGATTACAAGCAAGGTGCTGAGGAAATAACGCTGTGGTATATGGAATACATGTTGTGGCTTCTTCGATAAAGGATATCTTGCTGAAGTAGGGCTTAATACATATTCTCGAGCGCCCCCTTTCCCAATGCCCATAGACCTTCAATTCCCCCTCCACCCCTTCTCACCCACTTTCATTTACAACACAAATTCATGTCAACTTTACCTCCTACAATCAAGTAACCCTTGGCCTAATATATGATGGGCAACAGGATACAAGGAAAGGGAATAACAGTATCTAGGAGATCTCTTATTTTGCTTCTAGTGACCTCGAACCACCTCGCTTTGTGGTTACAAGAACCAGAGAACACAACCTGTAAAATCTCAATTTTCATGCATTCAATTGTACAGGGATATAGAGATGTCCACAGATGGTATTCCATACATAAGAATGGTCCTTGTTGTTCTTTTATAATTGATGATGAACTGATAGTTGATATCTTCGGTTTTCTACGTCCAACTTCTGGTTGAAGCTGCATTTTCTGCTGTTCTCTACCCCTTTTTCTCTATCTCATTCGTAATACCACGTTATTACCACCCCGTACCTGCTATAGCAGGCGTACGGCCAATGAAATACAGTTTTGTGTTTTGCTCTGTAATAGCCCCTGCCTCTCCTGGCTGTTGCTTTTATTGCTGTTGCTGCTGCCCTTTCTCACGTCAAAACATCACAACCTTGACGTGTGTTTCGTCAACTCCTCAACCTCACTTCATCCCTCTTCCGTGTCCCCCAGCCCGCAGGGAGAGAGACCTGTTCTGTTGTTCATTTCTATCACTGAAGTGCATATATATATCTCAATTGCTGCTTCTGTTCTCCTTGTTACATTATTCTGTCTCTGACACCTCTGTTGCTGTGTGCCTTTTTCTCACTGCCCCTTTTGTTGTCATTATCTGTGTTCTCATTCACACGTTTCGAGAACCATCTTCTGGCGATCATGCCTTCTACTGTTCTCAAATGCATTATATGCCCCAAGAAGCCCAATTTCAGTGATGTGTCCCACCTCCTGACCCACATCAGCTCCAAGGGGCATCTCTCCCACTCTTTCAAGCTCCAAGTGAGAAGCCACCAGGAGCCTGAAGCTGGTGAGCTGCTAGAAGCCTACGACCAATGGTACAGAGAGCATAACCTTGCAGGATTGCTCTCTGACCGTATGCTCACCAAGGAAGCCAAAAAAGGCAACACTAATTCAGCTTTTGGAAATGTTTCGTCATCCCGCAGAAACTTAAAGCCCAAGGAAGATAGCTCCGCTCCCAAATCTTCTGAACAGCCGGGCAACCCTCTCCCCGACTACCTAGATCCTCGGATGTCTCTTCCATACGTTACTGTAGACAGCCACACCCACTCCCAAGAAGTCTCTCGGCTTGGCATTTCCACGGACGCAGCTTCCGTTAAAGCCCCTTACCCACGTACACAGCTGTGGCCTACATGCCAACCCAGATCGTCGTTACCATCTACGACTGATACCGTAACTGGGTGGAAGCCATTATCCGACTCCTCTGTATCCGAAGAACCTAGCCCTCTCATCCAACGTAAAAGAGGTCGGGCTGACCAGGTTAATAATACTCGCATTTCATGTCCTCATCGACCCGGTCGTCCATTTACTCCTGATCCTTTTGTGGATAACCGCTCCCTGGAATATGCTGATGAAGATGACGAGGAATCGCCAATCAAGAGAGAAGAAGCCACCAGACTGAAGGGAATATTGTGGCCTGGTATGGATATTTTTGACTCAGCCACAGAGCAGATGAGGAAGAAGCGTAACCAGAAAAAGGACGGGAGCACTTTGAAAGAGATGGAAAAGACATCTGAAAACGTTGAGGCAACAGAGCTCGTTTTCTCTCCAGGAGGAACATTACGACGCGAGCGTCCAATATCAGGAAATGTCGAAGAGGACAACAGTCCTCTCAAGGGTGAAACCCCCGTTCCTAAACGTCGTGTGATACGTACTAGACGACCTCCACTGGCCCAGTCGAGCACCAACCTTTTCAATTTAAGAGGCCAGAGGAAGTATCATGTTAAGGGAGATCATCGTCGTCACACTGATTCTTTAGAGGAACTATCTAGACAGACATTACCTCTTCTTGAAGGATCTCCTACCAATCTCCGCCTGCAGTTCTTTGGTAACCATTATGCCACGGGTGATGAGGATTTCAAGTTGACATTTACCGATTATGACCAAAAGTCACGTCGTGGCCTTGCGATTTTCAACGACAATAACGATCAGATGCACTCCACCTTTAGGGAGGCCATGTCCCGTGAAGCAGCGGCTACAGCGAATGCGGCTAATGTTAGACACGATGCCAAGCCCTCTCTTGGTACCTTTACTGGTCCTAGATCGGCCTTTCATAAGCCTGGCGTTTCGGACAACTTTCAATTTCATGTTTCCAAGTCCTATACTCATAACCGATCCACCTCCATGCCGGAATTTTCTATCGGGAAGGAGAATATTGAGCCAATTATGAACTCGGGTGGAAGGGTGGACCCCCGAGTTGAACATGGCAGCTGGCCTGGACAGCACAGCGTCGAAGAAGGCCAGTACTCGAACCAATACTTTTATGGTTCAGTTGCACAACCTGCTTTTGGTGTATTTGCCGAAAATGATTCATTTGGGTTCTCATGCAACCCTCTGTCATATTCTTACCGGCATGGTCAACCTCATGATGGGGTGAACAATGCCGCCACCCCTCGGTCCTGTGATGCATATGTTGGGTGTGAGAAGGCTAAAGCAAATAGTGCGGTATCTCCAGATAGGACAGTATCCGAAGTCGACAGAGAGGAATATCACAACATGTATCTTGATAGCCTCGCAAGGTAAATTCGAACAGGTAAACTGGTATATCTTCCTTCCTGATCAGATTTATCTTGACTCGGGTTATATTTGCGGCGCTTGGACAGCAATAGGCCAATTTCAGAAATTTCAAGGCCGCACGGAAGGGGGTAATTTGAACGGCTTTCAGCAAAAGTTGCTTCTCTTATTAACATCCAATATGGATATATCCCTTACTATCCCGAACATTCCCTTTATTCTTATCTTCTATTCCCCTGTTAAGCTTTTACAGATGGCGTTATTTGCTTGCATGTTAGAACTCCCTGGAACATTTCCGCTTGTTAGTCTATTACCAGGTCTGCAGGAAAAGGAGGAAGTTATCTGCTGCCTAACACAAGGCATGAATTAGAATTGTAGTTTACAGTTATTGATACAGCTGATATCACTTCCTTATGCACTTCCACTTGATTTTTGTTACTTTATTTACGGCCCTTTTCCTTTTATGTACATCCTTACCAGTTCTGGTGCTCCAGTCCAAGTAGCAGTGTAAAGGAGCCTGGCAAGAAAGAAATTAATGTAATTTCCAAGTAAGTGAACACTCATGCAAGCGGATTATCAATTCAAAATATCTTTTTATTTAACTACACATATATCTTACTTTAATACACTATTATACTTTCAATTTATATTAAAACTGCTTTAAATTCTCTTGGAGAAAGAGAAAACTTAAGCTCATATAAATACTTTAAAAAGATAAGAAATATTTTTAATTTATAAAGCTATACTTGTATTTAATATGTTATTCTTTACTCTAAATTATCAACTCAATAACTGAACTGTTTGAATAAATCTATATGCAAATTCAATCAAATTAACACAGACTAAAGAGAATAGATTAGCTAAATAAATACTAAAATTAAATTAAATAAGAATTTCTATTATAGCTAATATTTATTAAGAATACAATTAATTATCATGTTATTATATAGAATTTTATCTATTTCATCATTATCTCTAATCACATTGACAAAAACTAAGTGTTAAATCTAGTTATTATAGCGTAGTTGCTGATAATATAAATTAAAATTAATTTATTCTAATTTTAATTATATTTAATTGCTTAAATTAATTTATTTATATTCTTAATTATTTACTAATATTTGACTATATATTTATTTTTACATTTTAATTTTCAGTTATATATTTAGATAAATAAAATTAAGATTTTATTTATATATTATTATAATTTTAAGTTATAATACTAGTGATACACTGCTTAGAACTTTAAATATACTACTTTAAAAAATATATTTATAGTCAAATCAAATATGAAAATATAAAAATTATTTAAACCTGTTTTATTATCTTAAAAACTTCAATTATAACATAATAAAATAATATAAGATTACTGAATTAAAGAAAATAGTTTTATTTATCTAGTAATAATATAGTAATTATTTTATAATTAATCTATAAATAAAAAATTTATAATAACTACTTTATAAAACTATCTAATATTAATTTAGTAATTATATTAAGAAAAAAGATATATGTATTAATAAAAAATTATATAAAGTCTTTTTCATATCTATTTTTAAAAAATATTTCAAATATTAATAAACATAATTTTTATGATACTGTTGAAAATTAAAATCTAATATTAATAAATTATTTATTTAATAATAAAATTAAAAAAATCAAAGAAAAATATTTCAATTAATTAATTAAATATAATCTTTCTTTTTAATATTAAAGTAAAAAAAAAGTTTTTTATTAAGTTTATAGAGAGAATAAAAATTACATCTAGAGAATTAATTTTAATCTTAAATAAAGTTAATACTTAATTTATATAAATTAAAAATATTTAATTTAAAATAATATTTTATTTATTAAATATTTTATATGTTCAATATTACTTTTATTAAATTATCTCTTTTATTAGTTTGAATTATTTTATTTTATACTATATTAAGTTAATTTATTTTATAATATGATAAGTTATTTTATTTTAATTAATAAAAAGATTAAATGAAAATTAAAACTTAATAAATATATCTTTTATTAAAAGTTAATTAATTATATCATGTCTTAGCTAGAGGTATAATAATAA